ATATATATACAAGGACATTCTACATTGATTGGTACCCAAAAGACATCCTAAACACAAGATGAAATGATCCAGGTCTTTTACTTTGCAGCTCTTCATGAGATCTCTGTAGGGCATTCAAACATAAACTGAGACATTTATGCGAATCTAGGAACAGCAATAATTTATTTCTGTGAAGAAACATTGAATGGACAATGCATTAGGTGAAGTACGCGGGAGGGTTTTCAATGCCAGGAACAGCCACATTCCCTCCCGTCACGTGACCGAGGACCCCCCGCAAAGCCCAGCCGACGTCCTGCTCAGACGAGCGCCGTTTCCGAACGCGACTGCGCAGCCATTCAGGACGATAATCACCAACTTTGACCACGGTTTTTAAACCTTTAACGTAAGTATAAATTCATATAACTCAGGCATGACATAGGTAGAGATGTCCCCTACTGGGAACCGTTTTCAGATTTCTCGTATCTGTGAGGAAAGTGGAGAAAAAGTGCTGAAAAGTGAGGGTACACCGTTAGTTGTCTTTGTTCCCCGCGCAGACGCACTCAGCAAATTTTCAGACGACCCGATCGGGGTTGAGTTTGGAGTCAACTTCAGCGCCCCATAACTCGCTAACCGCTCAAAAATCTCGAAAAATTCCACCACAGAAACGTAGAGCACTTCTTCCCCTTTCGTTCGGCCGGCTAACTTGTGGTGAAACCCGGCGAGAAGCTTCGGAAAACGGGCCGGGAATGCGGAGAGTCGCGGGCGGGAGTTTTTTGTTTATCCCTCCATGTCTGTCTGCGCAGACGCACACACCTGGGCACATTCCCCGACACCTTCTCGCCGCTGCACCGGCGCAGTAGAACCGCCGCATGCGTCCTTGGCCCGACCGTTCCTCCGCTAGGCAAATTTTCCTAGCTAAAACCCCGAATCCGCCGCCGTTTGCCGCCCTTCCCGGCCGCTCTGTCGGCCGAGTCAGGCGGCGACCCCAGACCGAAATCGGAGCCCTGCCATGATGGCCGAAATGCCAGCTATGCGTGCCCGCGCGTCATCCCTGCCCGGACATTTTCGGGGTGACTGTGACAGAAAATGTCGTCCGATCCGACAGTTTTCAACCCTCTGGCAGTGGTGTACTGCTTGTGTGCACTCTCCTAGCACCACGCAGTCGCAGGATTGTGCGCAAAAGTCGCAGCAAATCCCGATCAGATATAATCGAGTTTATGGGAGGGGCCTTGCTTGGGTTGCGGGATCATGTCATGGCGGTCACCAGGATGAACCAAGGGCAGACAAATTATGAAATTAAAACGACGTAATGTCACACACTTGTGCCTGTTCGTCATCTATTGGTTATCTTGTTATTTTCCATGGGATCCTCTGATTTTTCTTCTCTGTTGTTCTAAGATTCTGCATAATATTATTACTAAATGATTGATGATGTGACTCCAATCAAATTGTAAATTATTAATTCAAAATGATTTTCTAATTTAGTGTAGTAGAGAAAGACCAGAATACACCAGTCGCCCACAGGCTCTCTGGGTACTACACTAGTGTACCTCATTTTCCCACACATATGCAGGCCTCGAAATTAACTTTTTTCACTATTGTCCCAGAATTGTCCCGAACATAGATTTCAATTGTCCCGAACTGAAGATGGACTGTCCCAGCCTGCTTTTCAGAAAATAAGTTGATGACAAAAATAAGAAAACAACAACTGAATTTGTACAACTTGAAGTCCACTTTATTAGTAAATGTAGGGAAATACATGATAATATCATGGGCATGGCACCGTCCCTGATATTTGGAATCCCTGACTGGTCAAATTTAAATGTTTGTCAGAGTATTATATATTTATAGGCTGCCAGCAGTCTGCAGCAGGATGGATGGATCGCGTTCCCAAATGACGTGGATGGTCTTAGAATTTTCCAATTGCCCCAAAATTGTCCCGAAACGTAATTTGAATTGTCCCAAACTGAAAATTTAGTGTCATTTGACACTGGGACAATGTTAATTTCGAGCCCTGATATGTATGGTTCAGTCAATGAGGTTAGAAATCAAACCTTAGTTCAGTCCAGTGGCCAAAACATGTTCACAAAGGACATGGTGGACTGAAGTTTCATGTTTGATATGAAAAGGACAGAAACTATAACTATAGAGCAAATCTAAACATAATATTAATTTTGTTTTTCCGAGAAAAAATTTAAACATAGCCTAGGATGTTTTGGTTTTGGCAGAAAGACTTGTACTTTATCATGTATGGTGTTGAGTATTAGTCACCATTAATGATAGGATTATGACCCCAAAATAGCACTCTTACACAGAAGGCCAGGTATGTGCTGCATTGGTTTTATGTCAGCCATGATTTTATGATTGATTTAGCAGATTGACCCCCGCCCCCCCAAAGAAATACTTTGTAGAGATAATTTTTTTCTTTGTTGTACAGATAATAAAAATTTTTGTAAGAAATCCATCTGAGCTTGTCGTTATTCATGTCGTAGGTCACCATGATGATAAACGAGATGATGAGTGACGCGATGCACGTCAGCGATGCATCGTCCGGAGACGAGGGCGGAAACTCGTTTGACGATTCCGGCCTCCTTGGCACCACTGACAAGGACGAGGTGACAGCACAGTTGGCTAATGCAGGTAAGAACTGTTCATTGTGTTCTAATCTCCACATGTAATATTGCAGCAGCAACACCTAGCTGCAGTATGAATCAGAACCATTGTTGCCTTGAAAGAAAGTTACAGGTGGTTCTTATAAATTTAGAATATATTGTTCTTGTAAACAACTGTGGCAACACACTTCCTTCCATCAGTATCAGTTGCTAAGTGACTGTTCCTATATTGGTCTATAGATGCCTGTACTGTTGACAAGTCAACTGAAAGAAATAAATACAAAAATGTTATATTGTTGCTCAGGTCCAGTGGGCGTGGCTGCGGCTGCTGCCATAGCAACAGGCAGGAAGAGGAAACGGCCTCATCAGTTTGAGACGAACCCCTCCATCAGGAAGAGGCAACAGACTCGACTCACAAGGTGGGAAGTTTGTGAAAATCATTTTACATAACTGTCCTGAATTCTTCATCTACATTGCTGCCCCCTAGTGTATTGTTTGGGTACTGTGGTATAATCTGATGTTATGTTGTATCATGTTTAGGAAGCTGATCATGAAGAATACTGATACTAGATGAATACAACATCATGATGGGACAGCAAGCAGTTGTGTTGTTCTGCCCCCTGGTATACAGTTTGGGTACTGCAGTATAACCTGTTGTGCTGTATCATGTTTTGTAGGAAGCTGAAGAACCTGATAGATGAATACATCATCAGGGTAGGCCAGCAGGCTGTTGTGCTGTGCTGTACTCCTGGCAAGCCAGAGGGCACGTTCAAGGTGTTCGGTGCCTCTCCACTGGACAGTGTGGTATGTAAAACTTTTTCTTGTACTGCTGTTATAGTAGCCTCTACCATGCTTTGGGAAACAGATGGAAAGAATGGAAATTGGCCAAATAGACAGATAACATACCAGGGGAGTGGTCCACTAAAGAGTAGAGCAGCAAACTGTACTCCTTTAGCAAACCAACTCCCCTGGCATGTTGTCTATTTGGCTGATTTCTTCTCTTTCCAACCACTTCCAGAAGCCTGGCAGAGGCTATTGTTACAGCAGTACTTTGATTTATACAAGTTGTATACTAGACAACACTAAAATCTAAAGACTGCAAGCAAGGTGTGATAGGAGTCTGTATGCACATTCATTCCGTGATTGACAGGTGTGTATTTGTTCCCTACAGGTGCGTAACTGTCGTCAGGTGATCATGCAGGACCTGGAGGCAGCGCTAGCCCAGCAGGCCCCGCCCCCTCAGTCAGAGAACCCTCACCTACACGAGCTGCCCCCGCTGGTCATCGAGGGGATACCTGTACCTGTGGACAAGATGACTCAGGTCAGACACAATACTCCCAAACATTATCAAATGTAATGTTAACAGCAACCACCGTTGCCATGGCAATGTTTGTTTTCATTGCCAGTCTTGTTTATAGAAAGGTTGCAATGCCCATGTAGTATATTTGAATGGCCTTCTTGAATTCTAAATAGATGTTTGTATGTTGTCCCCCATACAGGCCCAACTGCGTGCCTTCATCCCCATCATGTTGAAGTACTCCACTGGGAGGGGGAAGCCAGGCTGGGGGAAGGAGGCCACGCGGCCCGTCTGGTGGCCGTCCGACCTGCCCTGGGCAAACGTTAGGAGTGATGTCAGAACAGAGGAACAGAAACAGCAGGTGAGACAGCCTGGATTCACAAGTCATTGTTAGCTCTTATGCACTAGCCATCAAGGTAGCTTATTGTTGTTTAGCATTAAAAACCTTGATTACAAGGTTGGGTTTCTATCACCACCATAGCTATGGAGTTTTACAGCCCAATATAAAAGATTGTTTTTGGCTACACTGAAAGTTTCATTATATTCTATGATTCATTCCTCTCAAAAAGAAAAGGGAAATGCTGCATCTGAAGGAAATGACTATTTGGAATTCCAAAGTTTTTTTTTTTTTTTTTACAGCCAATAGATGTTGGTTAAAGTTTTAAAACACTTGAAAGAATGTTGAGCTGGTCAAAAAAAAAATAGTAATGGTTGATGCCACATGTTCCTGTGTGTAACACTTGTGCACTCTGGGTTGCATCAGGTATCCTGGACTCATGCGCTGCGTACAATCGTCAAGAACTGCTACAAGCATCATGGAAGGGAAGACCTGATGATGGATGCAGAAATCAACTCTGGCACTGACAACCAGCAGCCGACAACTCAGCTCCAAGTGCACCAAGTCAACGTACGTATGCTGTATCTGTAGTGGGGAGGGTACTCTATGTTATGTCATAATCTGTGCATGAACAGTCTGGCATTTGAACAAGATTTCTTGCTTGATAGGAAATTACTTACTTTCTAGAAGATTACATGATGTCAAAAAGTGGTACAGTAGTCTTTTTTACTACCCCCCTTGCTTAGTGTCAACTTATCTGGCTGTTACATCTGTTTTATTCCCCCCTCCCCTAGTGTCAGCTGATCTGGCTGTTATATCTTTTGTACTCCCCCTCCCCTATTGGTAACGTACTTGGCTGTTACATCTGTTTGACTTCCTCCCTCCCCAGGGTCAGCTGATGCAGCCCCACACCATGGTACAGACCATCAACAACCCAGACGGGACCGTCTCTCTCATACAGGTGGACACGGGGGCTACTGTGGCTACACTTACAGATGCCAGCGCCATCACTGTCTCACAGGTACAGATCAAGTACAGATACAGTCAGTCCAAACCATTTCTGTGGTCCTAGCACATTTTAAAGAAAAGATTCTCACTTTTAACAATTTAGAATTGAAGGAAGAAGAATTATTTTAAGTGATGACTTTTTGGTTCCATTAAAATGCAGGGAGGTGACCTACAGGGAGAGAGGAACACTTACACTTGGGTAAGTACGACAGCCTCTTATGTTTCCCAAACTGTTTCTATTTGGATTGTTGTTCCTCATTTCCTTAAGTTTGCTTCATGAAACGTAGGCTGTCTTCATTTTGCCATAATTTTTGCATTCAATCCTGTAACAGGTTGATGGGACGGTATCCAGTCTTGTAGATGGTGGAGCTATTGCTGTGTCACAGGTAGGAATGGTTTTCTATAGTGTTTATTCAGCAACCAGGGTTTTTATAGTGGTTTGTTTCATACATTCAATTATTCCTGGCCTGTTTGATATCTTTACACCAAGTCTTGACTTGATTATGTATTGTTCCTTTCAGCAGCCAATGACAGTGGTTGCCCCCAACTTCCACACACTGAACACAGCCCAGCCCACGGTTACCATAACAACTCAGAACACACAGGCAGAGGCAACACAGGCCGTGGCCACACTGGCAGAGGTGGCGGCTGCTACACAGGTCTGTAGAACTGTGGAACTAGAGAGAGAGAGTGTGTGTGTGCATACATGTGGGTGTTTGTGTGTGTGTGTGTGTGTGTGTGTGTGTGTGTGTGTGTCTGACTGTACAGATATGGTTGTGTGTGCATGCGTTCGTGTGAGTGAATATGTGTGTGGCTGGGTGTGTCACTGTGTGTGTGTGAGTGTGCTTGGATGTGTCTGTGGGGCTGTATGTGCTTACTAATAGTGTGTCTGTGTTTATATGAAAACTGAATTTTTGCCTTTTTTCAATCAAAAACCTGTTTCCTATTTGAAATTTCAAACACATACATTTGTTCGTCTCAAAGTTAATGGTCTCAAAAGTCATTGCTTTTTAAATTTTTTAAACCTTTGTATGCAGGGAGAGGCAGGACATGAGGGTCTGACCCAGGCCCACATCACGCCGGTGTCGGTACAGGTGCAGAACGAGGCGGCAGCACAGGGAGTGGCCACGCTGGCGGAGGCAACCCTGTCGGACGGGAGTCAGATCATGCTGTCCACAGAAGGTGCGTTGGATGGGACCGGTCAGGAAGCTGGTAGGTGCCACGTTTCCTTCCTTATCCTTTCATTCATTCACTCACTCATTCAGTCATTCACTAACTTACTCAGGCAAGGTTCAGGCCAATGTTCTCCAGACCAAGGTAGGTACCACGTTTCTTTCCTTATTCATCCATCCATTCATTCATTTGCTCACTTGCTATCTGGTCACTCAATGAATCTGTCTTGCAAGATTTAAGCCTGTCTCACACAGCGGAACATGGCATTCCAACATTATCCAGACCATGGTAAGTGCCACGTTTCCTTCCTTATCCTTTCTTTCTCTCGCTGGCTGTCTAAGCCACGCACTGTATCTGTCTCACAAAGGTTAAGCCCCTATCCCAGTTAACACTGATCAATATGACTTCAGAAAGGACAGCAAGACAAATAAGTTTTGGAACTTCAAGTCAAATATCTTTGTTACTATACCGTGTTACATATTTTGATAGAAATGAAGAATCTTTTACGTAAAGGGCAAATTTGAAATGACATATGCAGCTTACTGCACATAAGGGATTTACTGTACATTAATTTTTTGATGTGGAAAGATTGTAAATATTTCAATCTATATAAAATATGATTGCGGTGGTCGTTGGATTCTTGATTCTAGTCTGTAACGGTGGCACATTGTTTTGACTCGTATCTGAGACATATAAATAAGACATATGACTACGACTTCTATTGTATGTTTAAGTTTGCTCGCATTTGTTCAAGAAAAGAATAACAGTGGTCTCATGTGGACTGGTCTTTGTGTTCTCCAGGAGGTGTTGTGATTCCTGTAACGATGTACCAAAGTGTTGTCAGCTCCGTTGCCCAGCAACAACAACAGCATCAACAACAACAACAACAGCAGCAGCAGCAACAACAACAGCCGCCGCCCCAGCCTCAACAGGTCACCACGGCCGTACCCCAGGTTGCCATGGTACCCGATTCCGTCATCTCCGTGTCCGTCACGCAGGCGAACGAGACGTCGTCAGGCACGGGCGATGTTCCCATGGCAACACATGCAGTGGAAGTGGTGACCCTCGAACAAGCTCAGCAGTAGGGGTGGGTGTAGATGGTGGTCTCATGCCGAGGTTTTCACAAGAGAACTTCCGTGTGACGCCTGATGTTGTTGTAAGATATTTTAATGTTAACATTTTTTTTCTCTTTTTTCATAGGGCCACTTTTTTTTTCTTACTACATGTAGTAAGGCTGTTCATTATATCTTGCCTTCCTTACCTCACAAATTTATTGTTGATTTCTGTAACTTACAATTGCCTCAGTATTAATTGTTAACAAGAATCTCAGCTTACAGTTTTCCTTGTATGATAAGGTCAACTCTTATAACCATTAGTGTGTAAAACTATGTGTGTTTCTTTTTTCTATTTTCTACTCTGCAAGAGTGACATTTGTTCTGAGGAAAATTTAGGAATCCACTTTTCTTAATATTCATTGTCTTTCTACTTTCTCAGTGCTAGGAGCATTGTGTACATTTTTATAGTAGGTATAACATAATGGAAAGAGACTTTTGGAAGGTATATCTTGTATCCAAAAAATACTAGTAGCAGCTGAAAAAAAAAGAAGAAAATTTCAATCCAGGAATCAAAATCAAGTATTTAGGGGGATGTACATATGGTAAACCAGAAACATTTTGTTACGATGTGTAACATTCAGGATTGTGTACATCTTCAGACCAGTTATTTGGTTATTGAAAAGACTTCCAAGGTCCAAGACACAGGTTTACACAACACTGAAAGCTGATGACAGTCAACCTCTAGTCACAGTTTGCAACAAGTACAGTTTTACCTAATTTGGTAATACTGATCAGAAAGTTTAAGCAAGGACTTATTCTTTGTACACTGACCTTGTTAAATGTAAATAAATGTATGTCACTTGAAGGTGTAACAGTCCACAAAGACATTGTCAATATCTCAATTGTAGACGTACATGTACTTTTAGTGTTCCATAACTTCTGATTCAAATTCACTTCTCTTTTTTTATTAGCAGCATTCACTAAGAACAATGGGATGGGCAAGTTAAGAAATTGAAGAAAAACTATCTTGAAGTTCCCTTTTCATTATGTATGTAACCATGTATTAGTAACTTGTTTTTTTTCTTCTGAAAATAGAAACGTTAATGATTTTTTATGCTTAGTTTATTTAAGTTTATATTAAACTTCTTGTAAATAGGCTACGTTTGGAGAAAATGTTTTTACTTAGTATGAAACTTGTACATTTAAGATTATGTAGTAGTGTAGCATTACTGCAAACAAAATGAATTAATAATAAAAGGTACAGTTTGTGGGAAGGGAGAGCCGAACTGTACTCTGGAGTTGTTTACCGTATTCACCCCAACAATTGCACATGTAGGACGAAAAGCCTATTATACAGTTTTAGAAAGGCTGTTGACTGAGTTAAGTTTTGGAGATACGTGTAGCCTCCTGCATGTGTTATTATTGGAGTATGCTGTAATCTGAGTAAATACACATTATAATAGACTTAGTAGTATATCAAGTGATATAGGATCAGGTTCAGTGTAAAGAGTCTGAATGGAGGTTTTGCAGGATGCTGTAACATGAAAGCATAACATCCCAGTAAATCCTAGTATCAAGTATGCCATTGTCACTCGGTCCTTGTGTTTGTGTACATGGTAATATGATAGGTTAATAGGTACCAGTCTCGTTGCCACACAGTTACAAAAAAAATTGAATCTAAGGATACTCCACACTTTCATCTTCTACTTTCCATACCCCACATGCTGACACAACATGCTGATGATGTACTTGCTATTCACCCTGCTTCCAAGTTAGACCATTGAAAGATACAACCAAATGCCATAAAAAAGATACAATCCAATTGTAAGTCTCTCTTTTTATTCACATTTTCCTAAAATCAAGGCATATTGTAAAGGTTAGAAGAATGACATTTATGTTAGTTTTTTTTTTCTCAGACCTTCTTAACGATAATGTCCATTGCTGCCAGAGCAATGCACATCATATTGGACCAGCGAGGTCTTTAACAAATGTTTGTTCACATCCCCATTGGTATATAGTTGGGTAATCTAATCTTTATGTTACCTCATAGTCCAATAGTTCACTTTATGGCACTAACATAGTTCCATCAGCACTATTCTAAATACGGACCTATGTATCAAAATAGTAGGATAAAAGCTCTCTTACTGTCGCCCTCTTGCCCTTGCCAGTGGTACTGCAGGAATAGGTACCTCTGTATGTTTGACTATACACATCTACACGTATGCGTTGGATAAGTTTGGGAGGCTGTACGTACACTCGGAAGGCAGAAGGCACATATACCAGCTTTTCTCTTTGTCCATACAATACAGTATCTTACACCAACTTGGCTGAAAGGGCATACCTAAGGTTGATTAAACTCGAATGGTTTGAAAGAAGAAGCCTTGAGTACCAAGGTCTACCCTAAATTATTTCTGGTAGTGTTTACATCAAGTCTAAGAAAAGTAAAACACACCTCAAAATACAGCATTTGCTAATACCATCAACGTTAGCATTCAAACTCTTATTCTAACTCGTCTTCATTTATTATCACTATACGATACCAGAATCTTCACTTTCAAAAATACAGCACTCTTCTGTCTTTCAGAAGCAATTGTGAAGAAGTTTACCTTTTATGTTAACTTAACCCGAACAATGTTATCTCTCTTGCCCATTTTTTAAATCTACCCTGACACTCACAAAAAGGAGAACACATAAAAACATACAATGCAAATGTTACATCTTAAAACATAACATACTTCTCGATGATAATGTAGTAACATACATGTTTCATATAATATATTGACAAGGCAGGTTTAAGGACTGATGACGATTTTGCAGTCCATAGTTTCAGCCATACATTTATATGTTTGAGACATGACAAACAAAAAATTATCATTGGTAATATGATCATACTTGACACTGAAATTTGAAAAAAAAATACTACAATTCCTTTCATTCTTAACTTTGATCCCATATGCATATATCCATGTCTACCAGAGTACTTGATTTCAAAAGGTATCATTACCAGTAGGTTGCAGAGACAAAATTTCCACCTCTATTTGCACATCTGAAGGCATCTACTGGGCAATGGTTTCAGCAGAATGGAACCTCTCATGGAGGCCTCTATGAGAAGACTTCCAGTACTGCAGTCTTGTGTGTCAGATATACCGGGTACTTACAATGTTCATCATACACTTTGTATAACACGTTACTCAGAACAATCTTAGTGAGTCTTCACACTGATTCTCAGTTGTCCAAATTCAATGGTTCAACCGATCATAGAATAACTGCCAAATGTTTGCAGTTCTATGTTTGATAGATGGGGCTATGGGATTTTTAAAAAAATTATTACAGCATTTTTCAAGTACTGAAGGTAGAGAGCCTCTTGCAGTATTTCAAATAATATATAATAAGTAGACTTATCCTTTATCGAACAGAATATGTGGAGCACCATAATAGTTCCTTCTCTTCATGTTAATCTAAGAATATGGACATATACTGTTACCGTACTACTTGAATCTACTTTTATTACAATCAAAAGGAAATTGAACCTATCACTGAAATCACAAAATTATCTTTAGAAAAATCATCATTCTATAATCCTGTCATGACATGATTAAAGGTGACTATAATATATACATGTCTCTGGTACTCTGGTGTAAAAGTTAATATAATTTTTTTCTTCACAACTCAACAATTTTCCTGAACATTGTAGTCTCCTGGTTTCTGTTGATTGGATGTGAAGCTGTAACACTTGAATACATATAATGTTACATTTGTGCAGTTAGATTTGTTGAAGTTGTAAGATTTTGCTCTTACTAGATATTGTTGCTTGACCAATAAGAGTGGCTTTTGAAGTGTAACACAGTGCCAGTTACTTCTGGTGAAGATACGGGCACAGTATACAGGCACTGTCCTGCACTGCAACAGCCACCTTAGAATCTGACTGGGCCTTACTTTACCAACTATCTTTTTGGAACACCAGATGTACTGCTATAGGAATAGGGACTTCAACATATCTAGTAACTTACGTAATTCTGAATCCTAACTTCATCTTCAAGAAAATCAATCCATGAAACAAAATAGATACATAAACCTTAAACAATATCTTCCACCAAAATGTCTGGAGCAGACCACTAAGAATCAAGGGGGTTAAACAGGAATAAGTTGCGCATATTGCTAGCAATAACTTAACAGTGTATCTAAGTGTAACACACACACAAATTGATCATTTGAGATGTGTTCATGTTCAATTTGACATTACAACAACACCAAAAAAACAGCACAAGCAAGTAAACAATACAAAACTTTTCTTCTGACAAGAGTGCTCCTTGTATAGACCACTGAAAAATGAAGTGTGCGTTGGTATTGTAGGTTAAGTAAAATGGCTTCACTTCTGTCTACACCCCCATGCTTAATGGTCAGTTCCAAACATAAACTGTAACAGAGAGGTAGCGTCGACTCCATCTCAGCATCAGCTCCCATCAGAGGTACAAAGGCACAGTCTACGGTATCGTTGTGCACGGCCCAGCATGGAAGCGATAGTCCGCCATCTTGTTCATTCCGTGGTAGTGGACGAAGGCGGCGGCGACCACTAAAACGTGGAAGATCTGGTGACTGTGGAACTGTGGGGGAGACAATGGACAATGATTATACTTCATGTAGACTCAGCATACTGAATGTTATTCAGAACACAAGGACAAAAGCTAAAAAGAAATTGACAAGAAGCTAACAAAGAGATTTTAGACTTCTGGGAAGTATGCAATCCTTGACTTCCAGAATTCCCCAGTATCAATGGCTAATTCCTGCTGGCTCGGGGACAGAGTCTGAGACCTTCACGTTCACCCCATTTCCAGAGTATCACCTTTTGACCTGCTGTTATCCCACCCTTGTGCTGTCAACCTACTCTGTCTGGACAAAACGACACACAAATCAACACTCAATTGTTTGGGTGCAAGAAGTAACATGCAGCATCTTACCCATAGGTCGAATTTCCCTGGGAAGAACCTCTCGGGCACGCGTGTGGCGTACATGACGGCGCCCACGATGTAGAGAAGGCCCATGAGCCCCAGCCAGCCCACCTGGCCCGCCGTCACCGCCATGTTGAAGCCGTCTGATATGAGATAGTGTATGACAGGAACTACTCCGCTGCACCCAAGCCCCAGGAACATACCTGCATGGAAAATAAACACACAAATACTGTAAACTTGTCTTTTTTCAAGGGGACTAAAAGGGAGGTTTCCTGAGTATTTTCAGTTTTCAGTTGAAACAATACAATGGAACCACATATTCACAGTGTCACAATTTTGCCCTGGAGAGGTCACAGCAAACAAAAATAAAACTGCAAAAATTTCAACATTTTAAAGCAATCATAAATGTTTCTGACAAAATTAGTTACTAACTAAAGCATCTTTAGAAAAACATCTTCATATCTTGTGTAAAACTACAAAAGTATGTATTAACATTGGCCTGACCATAGCATCTTTACCCCTTTTTCCTCAAAGTTTCAGAATTGAAGGATTGACTCTGTACTTACATGCCCTGAAGGCCCTGTAGCGCGGTTCGCTGAACTTCTCCCAGAGCGAGATGACGATGCAGATTATCCCGAGCGCCATGACGATGGCCAGGTAGGTGTACTGGGCAACCTCCTTACAGTAGTACGTGTAGTACAGCCACGGCACGAACGAACCCATGATCATCAGAGATATACCTGAGTAGTCAAGCCTGGACAGACAGAAAATTGGGAGGTTAGTAAACAATGATTAGATCCGTGCAATGGTCAAGGGGGCAGAGATATCCCTGAATGGTCAAGCCTGGAGGGACACAAAATTGGGAGGTTATTCATTCACTTTACTCACATTATTATATTTTCTGAGGATTGGGCAAAGTAATAACATACTTACATACATAAGCCCTCTCCTCACACATGATGTGTACCTACAGTTACCTATGTATATGACAGGAATATGGCCATATATTTGACATTCACAGTGTTTAACATATGAGTCAGCTATACTTGGAATAAGACCAACTGATATTATCGGCATAACAAACGGGATACGGTCGGTGCCTTATTGATAACCAGTATCACAAATAGCCATTGTCAAGGCCACACAATGGTGGAACTGCTGTCTGAGGCATTATTGGTATCCTTATCCAGACAAGTTAGTGCTTTGTACATCAGGCGAGACTGAGATCACATGACTCTGGCAAAAGGTAAGTTAAGGACAACAATCAAAGAAGCAGAAAGGATCTATTAAAGTTTGTTGGATTAAGTTACTTTTTCTTATGCTGCAGTACAAGTTATTCTGAACTTTCTTGTGCCAACTTTTTCAAAAGCTCTTGCCAATTCTTTTTTTTACCTCCCACCCAGCAAATGCAATGCGTCTCAATGATGTTACCATGAATGGGGTGGCAGTGACTACTTTGTATAAAAGTAGGTTGGGTTGGAAAGATCACTGCCAGAAGAAAGGTCTGTGCCAACACACTCCACAACTGGGGACAAAACCCTGCAAAGTTGGCCCGTAGAGAATGGTGACCAGGCTAACAGCTCCTTGGAGGAAGCCATGACTGATGAATCTGACCTACATCGGGTTAATAAGAACTCATCATCGGCCACCACGCATTACACCCAACAGGTCCCCAATTTTCCCACCACCAGGATATATATCTGTCTGGGTAGAGGCTCCAATCTGGTGGAAGCAGAGATTCAGATCAGAGTCTCTGTCAACAGAAACTCCAATTGGGATCTTAGCCTTTAAAATGGGTGACTTTACTGGCAGACATCTCAATTACATTCTGTAAATTTTAAGATATCTTGCTTAAAAGACAGTACTTTTTTCAACTTCGATTCATGTCACTTTAGATCAATGGATTGATCTGCAATTTAAGATTTGTAGATGGGAAACTACCCTAACACATTAACAGCATCTTAATTAGAGTCCCTGTTGACCAAGACTCCAATCAGGATCTGTACAGGTAGAATTGCTGATTCTACCAGGTCAGAGTCTCTCCCTGGACTAATTAATGTGCATGTATTCCCAAAGTTGCCAAGGGCTTGGTCATGTTTTTTGTTCATGACAGAAAATTGGGAGCATTTTGGGGACAAATTCAACTGTCTTGCTCCAGAAAAGGTAGTCGTAGATCCGTCAGTGCTCAATTCTGTTGTAGCCTTGCTGGAAATATTGCCCAACGAATGTGACCATGCATTAATAGGGGGCAGCAGCCATTCCAATGGATTGTCATCTGTGATGGCATCCAAGCGTATATCAGCTTATTCTCCCATGGATATATTACAGGTCAAACTGGGCACCACGTAAACATGACGAATCACCACTTACGAAAGGGCCTTTTAAACAGTACTCACACAAATGCCCTAGCCATGTACCTGTAAAAGAAAAGAACTATCGCATCGACACAACACATCAAATAATCATTACGCACCATTAGATTGACCCAATGTCAGTATTAGCTAATGGATGGCGTGCTCTAATTCCTTAATGACTTGTAGAATGCTCACGAACACATCTCCCTGTGGCAACATACCTGGTTATTTATGTACCTGTTTCCAGTGGTCCACAAGAGGCTTTTCCCCCCAAGAACTCATTAGAGATTCTTTAATGGGGAGCCTCCTTTCACCTGTAGGTCAGCCTGAGTTTTCACTATAATTCTAAAAGCAGCTGCTAATTTTCATTATGTATATCGTGGGCAAATTCTGTTCTTTCAAAATGCTTACACAAAAACCTCTGACTTTCTTGCATTGCTATCACTTATGACATACTGTGATTCCTGATTTTTTTTCACTGTACTTTTATGTTCACTGTTTCCACGATCAAATCATTTGTCACCCTCTCCCGCCACGGTGAAGATTAAGTTCCGTGAACATGTCCATTTTCCTCAGACTGTGAAACTTTGCCATCCAGTGTAGACCAAGTGAATTACAGTAGCCCTACGAGACAAATCCAGCCTCCAGTCAACTTGCCGTAATCCCCCAGTTTGCCACAGGAGAGAGCTATAGCTAGTGTGAACTGGTTCAGCTTGGCTGGTGTCCAGGTTACATTTACCTCCCTAACCACATCTGATGGTGACAGAGGAATACCTAATACCACTTCTCTCTCCCACTGATTGCTTGTCCCAAACCTAATGGAAACAGAGCGCCGGGTCACAGCGAGTTTATCTACATCTTTATAACCATAGACCACAGACTGTAGAAGGTGGACAAATTTTATACATTTTGTACTATGCCTCTTTTTAAAAGGCAAAGTTTGAGTCCTTATTATTTTTTTACAGTAATTTCATGTTCCCTTGTTTTTGCGGTCACTTCTGTGCCATGAACTGTATCAATCTGCACAAGGAATTAAGTTAAAAATAAAAGATAATAACATTTTGGAGGAAACATTATAACACCAACCATGAGGGAAAAAGTAAAACATGGAAACTTGCTTCTCCCATATAGTGTAATACAAATATTTAGTTTAAGAATTATTAGTCCACATTCAATTTAGTCCAGAGTGATTTTTCCAAATATACGAAATCCATAGGCTGGTTGTAGAGGAGGTCAGAGGACAACGATCTGAGATAAATCTGGGGAAGTTTTAGATGAAACAGGACGGGGACATTGATTTGTGCGGCCCTCATCAGTTTGACAGATTTAACCTGCGCAGAAGACGACAGCCGGGGACCAGTATTGACGTCACTGGTCTCCTCGGAACGAGAGAAATATTGATTTTCTTTAGCAGCGTAATCTGCGAGGGATAAAGGGGCACTCCCGCAATATTGGAGATCGTCTCCGGTGCAGTTGCACGATTATTATCAACTTTATCACGAAATCGTCCTCAAATAAGACACTGACCTGGACCTATAAGATATTTTACTAGAAAAGCTAATAGGGGTTTAACTATGGACAATGTTCTTGATTTTAGTGTAATGTGTGACTGTGAGAGTCTGCAAAGTGGTATGTTCTGTAACGGTTTCAAAGATATAATCCATGTGGATTGTGTACACATGTTAATAATTGTTAGTTTATTACCTCAGTAACTGTTATTCCAAAGCTAATTCCAGTTAACATTTTCTGTAAACATCTTTGATGCTTGATGCAAAACAGATAATCATGGTGTGTGCACAAGAGGTCAATATTGTTTTTGTGTTGGAAACTCCCAATAGATTTTGCATCAGCATTTTTTAAAAGGCCAAAAAATTGATAAAGGTGTCGATGTAATGACATGTATTGGACAATTTTGCTGTCCTTATCATTTTGCGTATCTAACACTTGTCAATACTGAACAGTGGACCAATCCATTTCCAACCTACATACAATGTACCCACAATGACATTTACTTGTGACTATGGCATGTCTGAAACAACAGACACAAATACAGAACTTCTGCTGCAGTACCAAGGAAAGCTGGTAGGGGGGCCAGAATCTATTGTATTCCAGTAATTCAACAGTATTTTTTTGCTGGAAATTTTTTTTTCTTCGCCCACTCACCCTATTAATTTTGGGGTTTTCAGAGGACGTCATCCATAAAATTCAGTGTGGCCTTATAAGAAACAAAAAAACGTCTCACCTGCCAAATATCTTGGCGGCCCTCTCGGAGTGGCAGTAGACAGTGTGGAAGATCCAGGAGAACCCCAGGCACAGCACGGCGCCCAGGAAAAACGCTCCGCACACGAACTTCTCCGTCAGCGGCGAGTGCATGTCCGCGGACGAGCGCTTCACCAGGAAGTAAATGGCAACCGCGATGAACGCAAGGCAACCTGGGAACAACAACACAGAACAACCATGAAATGTAAAGACATACTAATTAACAAGGTACAAAACTATAAAACAGAATATTTATGGAAGAAACACTGAAAAAAGCTAGAAGCTTTAAGTACATAACTGTAAAACTATTAGGTGAAAAACACCACTATTGCCTAGTTTGCAAACCTTCCAAATAAATGCAAAATTCAACAGCCTTTCAAAAATTAATTTAGTTCTCCTGGTGCAAGTGGTTCAAACCTTACAGTCTGGTCTTGAAAAGGTGATAGTCACCTGTTACATTAATCCATCCACAAATGTAGTGAATAAATAAGGAAAGTAAATATTGATTAGCCCAAAATGTGCCTTACCCAGAAAGTGTGTCCAGATGTTTCCAGTTTCAGAGTGGATCCTGAACATGGAGCGGAAACATGACCTGAAGGACGGCATGGGCGGCCGGTGACTGCCCTTCAGGTACTCATTATCCTTCAGCCACTCTGGCAGGGCATGGTGGGGCATCAGCTAGGGGGGAGGGGGGCACAGGTGTTAGGACCAGCTCAAGGTGACCTTGTACTAAATTTTTTTTTAGGTCAGTTTAATATTTCACAGACTGATAATAATCTGTGAATTTTTTTCTTACCTGTTTGTTCTGTGTATTATACCATAGTATAATTCAAACATATGGAAGCAAGCATTGACAACTGGGTTTAAAAATTAAAGATGTTTAAAGTATTCTATAAGCTTTATTTTCCTTGACACACTGTGTTGTGATCCAAGTCATTTCAGACAGTTTTGCCTGATGCCGTTCCAAATTTTGGGAGAACTTAAATCATGAAAAATGTTGGCTTCAATCAGAGCTCTCTAAAACATCATTAATTTGCTCTACCTCTTAAGGAACAGGTAGTGAAGGTTTATGCTCGTCTTTGACACTGTCCTGTCCTTAATGCCTGTCGTGTCACAACTAGACGATCATAATTATAATAAGAAGGTTCTTTATTCAACTAGCTGGGATTTCAACACGTTGTTTCAGTGTTCTGGCACCTTCTTCAGAGCATATATGTTTCTCATTCCTATCCAATTCGTATTCCATTCAACACCTAGCTGCAGTATGAATCAGAACCAGTCATTGTTGCCCTGAAGGTGACAGACGGTCACTGAAACTTGGATGTGAAAAACCACTGGTTGTTGAATGAAAGAACATTCTTATATAGTCTCTTGCCAACCTGGTGAAATTATTCATGGAACTAGGTTCAACCCAGACAAAAGTAATATCAGCTCCCACGTCTAGTCTGGTTTATCAATATTTGAAACATGCAGGCACAGAGACAATAAGAACAAAGGTCCCTCCTGACAGCAGCATTGATTCTACAGCTGTGTATTAAAGCCTGCATTTTACAGTAGCCTAGGTATCCCCAAATCAGTCCACTCTTCAACCTTACAAAAAACACCTGCAGGCTGCTCTATTGTTTCTTCACAGCAAGATTAAAACGGTAACCAATAGAAGCCAATAGGAAAATGTTCCTTACGTCTTTGAGATACAAATAAGGACTGAGAGTATCGTATTTCGGCCAGGGTTTTCCAGCATGCCTTTTCCTTGTAATGGCGTTTGAATCCATGACCCCATCATCGTCTGCCAAAAGACAGCTTCAAGATCCCTCTCCTATTTTGTATGCAACGACATCCACCAGAACCTGGCTGCTCTCACCCTGGCCACAAGGCCTCCGTCCACATGACAATCACACCACCAACATGTCATGTGTGTCCTGATATGGCTTTTGAACAAGTCCTCAGCGGCCTCCAAGCGTATCACCACACCCTTGTTACGACATACCTGCCTCTATTTGCTCAGGGGAAACATGATATGGCACCACATGGCTTTCTATTTCTGTCTTTATAAATATAGACACGATATCAACTGGGGTATCTGGTTTTGTCCTGATGATTTCAAACTCTACTGACAAACTTGTGTCCCATGTATATCTGTCAAGTTCAATATTTTTCTTACAAAATAATGGCTCCATTAACAACTGACCCCTGGTTGACCCACATTATGCAATAAGATGGCCGACAGGTCATTTGATGATGTAACAATGACTGATCAACTGTCTGTAAACACGGCCACTTGTTGTTATAGCAACCCAAACAGGAAGTAGGTGATAGTATACAATGGGGCCATGGGTCAACGCTGTACATTCAAATGATGCAACAAAATTGACACAACAAAATATATACATTTGTAAGGTTATCTTGTAATGTCTTTGCATGAGGTTTACATATTTCAATTGAAAAACGAAAGTGTAAGTTGTCCTGATTTTAGAGTGCGAAACTGTCATCCTTGAGATGCAATTTACTGTATTTATCTTTAGAGTGAAAAAAATTGTGCCCTTGTCTTTTATTTTGTACATGTACACTAGATGTTCAGTTATATAATACTTATATGGGTATTATAGGCACACAGCCTTATGATTGGTTTATTGATTTATTGATGTCAATGTAAAACAATTTTGCAGAACCCAGGGGTTCTAAATTGCACTGTTGCTCACAATTACAAAGATTAAGACTAAAGACGTAGCCCATTAAAAGGTTTAAAATCAAACAACATCTATTACAACATATACACATATGATAATTAAAGTAGAGTTATAAGTGTTACCTTGAGTAACTGTAAACTGAATGGTTGATAGTTCCTGTAGTTGGCAGTCTTTCTGCTATTGTTAGTATCTTCCAAAGCTTGCTTTAGGCAAACCTTGTTGTATAAGCCCTTAATACGTCGGCGAAGGTTATTCGATCTCCAGAACATTGCACAATACAAAAAAATCAAGCCACTGGATAAATTCACTAAAGATAGAGTCAGACGTTTCAGATATCATCCACTGTCTTTCAATAGTGGTTGACAATGAGTCTGAAGACAAGTGTAACCTGTATGTAAATGACTATCTGAGATGATACAACAGTTTCTCCTCTGGTCCAACTGGTGCTTAGCTTCCTTAGTTATGCATTTACATATCAATTGACAGGTCTTGACAGGTTATTGTCTTCTCAGTCATTGATGATGATATATAGCGGATGCAATTTGAAACGTCCGACTTTTCAGACAATCTATTCAGTTGCTTGATTTATTTTGCACTGCATAATTAATGTTCTACCTGGTCGTCTAACCTTCATCGACATTACTGATACAACTATGTTTCCAGGGCTTGATTTTTTTTGTTAGTTTTAGATTTTGCCAGTAGATTTTTGTTTTTCTACGGTGATACTGTTTTCTTGGCACCAAAAGATGGGATTGGAGATGAGCATGGCCTATGATATGTATTGTGACCAACAACATAACATCTACAATTTTGGAACATACCATTCACTCATCAGGGGTGGGATTTTATAAAAGCTATGCAGACCGACCCACCTGCCAGAGTGCCTCCACCACCTTCTTGCCAACCTCCTTGGTCCTCTCCACCCCTCTCTCGATCACCTCCTTGGAATGTTCCACCTTCTCTGCCACCACTTGCTTGGTTTCCCTCATGGTCTCCCCCATGGCCTCCTTAGTTTTCCTCATGGCCTCCTTACTCCTGACCAGAGTCTCCCCCATGGCCTCCCTGGTGCCCACCACGGCCCACTCCATCCTGTCCTTAGCCTTGACGGCCGCCTCTCCCATCCTTTCCTTCGAGTGTACGTAAGCTTCCCCCACTCTCTCCCTTCCCCGGACGTAGACCTCCCCCCAGCGCTCTTTTCCCCGCACGTAGACCTCCCGCGTCCTCTCCATGGCCTGGTGGGTTTTCTTAGCAGCGTAGTGCGCGCAGGCGCGGGCCGTCTCCGAGCCGGGCAGCGGCAGGACCTGGATGGCGAAGGGATCCACGGGGTAGCAGTATCCCTCATACTCGTCATCTGTCTCGTCAACCTGGGGTCAGGAAAAATCACAACAAAAGGGAACAATTAAGTCAGGTCTTTATTCACATACTAACATTGCAGACACGATGAATGGCATTTACATATATACATGATGACAAGGAATAAAAAAGCACATACATAAATGTACATGTCTATACAACACTGACATGACAAGAGTTCTATTGCCTGGTTGTACAGTTTTGACGGATTTGTGAAGAAAAGAATTCTGAAGTCTTTTTGTTCTTGCTGGGTTACATTTAGCCTGTGTTACACAGTCTCTTGCTGCGGGGGCTGATTGACCTCCTCCCTGAGAGCTTGAGGCTCTAAGTCAAGAGATCCATTCTCAGAACTACCAATAGGAGTTTATAGTTCTTCATCACTATCAAAGTCAGTCCAATAAGAGCTCCGGATTCTCTGTTACCATGGAAACCAGTCATCATCACCTCCTACACTATGGTAGTTTCATACTAAGTATCTCCAGTGTTTGTATTTAATATGTTTTAAAAACACCTTACACCATTTTTTCTAGAATGGCAATTTATGACTGCAAAACTACAAACTAAGCCCAACTTTCACCACTACCACATTAAACAAAACTCAGGCATATACAAAAATTATGGATGATGGGGGAGGGGGGTAATAAATGAACTGAAAGCCACAGTCACCAGCTGCATGCAACTCTACCAACTACCTGGAGAAAACAACAAAACATCATCATCAGTACAGAACCATGCAGGCACCTGCAAGCCATAACACAGGACAGCCGCTACCACAATACAATGTTGTAACAAAAATAAGGGAGGGGGCCACGGGCACGAAAACCATGGACGACCACATGCCAACACACCCATTGGATGCTTCCCGCCAGCGCTTCGATGCTGTCCTCGAGAAAAACCCGAACATCAATCGGGTACAGAGACATTTCTTCCGAGCACATGGAGGTGTTGTCCTGGAAAATAGCATGTCGGCAACATGGCAGGGAGAGTAGAGGAGCAACAGTGCAGGTTATGTGATCATGGAGTTTGCACTTGGAAGGCATTTTCCAAACTTATTGGCATCCTTGCTTACAAGTGTAAGATAGCAGCCAATCATACTGGCTTTTACAATAAACAGGCAGCATGATTGGCTGGTAACTTTACAGGAAGTAGCTGATTGGGTAACGGCTAGCTAGCAAAGATACCAGCCAATCACATAGGCTTTTACATTAAACAGGTGACGTGATTTGCTGGTAGCTTTATAGAAACAAAACCCAGGCATTTGCCTAGAAAGTAGCTGATTGGCTGACAGCTGGCAAGTGCTAATGTCCATAGAAGGGTTGTCCAATTGCAGGCTGGCTTACCGGGACTGTTGCTTGATAAGAAAGGATGCATGTTGGAGTACTGTCATTTTATATTGAGAAATGCAGCTGCTTTCCTGAACATTTTTATGTCTCCATGTCTGTCATGATGTAATATTATGGTTGGACTGATATCTGGCTGTTAAGATTTTAGTAGACCAAAATTTCTGCTGACCTTCCAAGTTCAGAGCAACCAGTGCATATTGAATGCTATATGACAGAGATTAATTTCTGTTAAATACTGCACATTCAATGCAGCAACATGATACTATCAATATGTAAAATAAACAAATGAAATATCTTGCACCGGCTTTAGACATATACAGAGAGGAAGATACAACCACAGTACAAACAATTTTTCACACAAAAAGGTAAGAAATAAATACAACTTATCAGCTATGGTTATTTTTGCCATTCTTTCTAAATGCGATGAATCAAAATAGCTAATAGTATCAAAATAAAGTTCAGTGGAGATAATCAAAGACTCAAATTGTAAGATAAAAACTATGACAAAAGATTTTTGACTGAGACTGACAAAAGAAGAAAAGAATACAACATAAGACGAACCACAGGTCATTATAGAGTTTGTGTTTTCATGCATTGGGACTGCTAACCATATCATTACACTAACCTATAACCTCCTTGCACTAACACATCTTTAGTCTAGTTACCACAGACTATAGAAAACCTACATACAAAAGTAATGTACCAGTACATTCATTCTGTTAAAAATGTAACACAAAGATGTCTTTAGAAAGACAATGTGACAAAGTATCTACCTGCGAAACTCCATCCCTGAGTGATCGGCCTTCTTCCTTACTGGTCTCATAAACAAGAGAATTTCCATTTTCCTTGAAGGAAAAAGGTAAAGAGTTACTAAGGCATTCTCTTACAGTCTTACTGCTTTATTGAGTGAAGCAGCATTGCCTGTACAGCTGATGTCTATAGACACATGTACCTACATGGAAATTATGTGGATAGAAGACATTTATTGATTGGCTGATTGATTGATTGATTAATTGAGAGATTGATTGATGGATTGATTGATTGAGTGGCAAAATAGATTAACAGATTAATTCATATTAGGATAGAGGGTAAGAAATAGTTGACCATGGGATGGGAGGTTAATACAAACACAGAACTTGATACAAGGAATACAGGAAGTGTGTTCTATAATATCAAACATACAATTCTGCTGGGAAAGAAAGGGTTACAAAGTTACAGCTATTCTACAGGTATGGAGGTTAATGAAAAACTTTTCATAATGAAAAAAGTTTTCATGGTTAGATCAACTTAGATGGGGGGGGGGCACTAGGAAAAATGACAAGTAGAGTCTTGAAAAGATATAATTAACACATATAGAGTACATTAGAGCAAGACCCAGCTGCAGTAAACTCTTCAATGGTACAGCTGTATTAGAGATGACAGAGTCTGGCAGACGAATATGTCATGGTAGAAGATAGGGGGCAGTGTTTCTGCCAGAGGGCCGTCCACCCGTCATATGACGGCCTGGTGTCGTTTTGGACGGCCTGAACTCGGACAGAGGCCGTCCTCTTAAAAAATTTCGAGACTCGGAAAAATCAGAGAAACTGACAGTCTTTGTTTTGTTGCTGTAGACGGGACGCCGTCCAAGGCAAGAAAGACACACGTTGTTTGTTTTGCTATTGTTATCATGCTGACGAACAATGTATGTCGGCGCCTTTCGCATACGTTAATCTCATTAAAACCCGTTTTTCAAGTCTCCATCCGGTAAAATGTATCCACAAACATTTTTCCTCGAACAGAATCATTTCGGATGTGAAAATTCTCTTTTGGGAGTTACGTTTTTGTTTTTGATGGTCTTGTAGCGGGCGGGTTGCATGAAAATCCACGCCGCTAGCTATCCACGCCGCGGTTCGATAACACTTCCGGCTTGCTTGAATACGCGAAAGGCACCATAAATCGGCATATGGATGCATACATTTTCCCAAAAATTCTTCATAATGAATTTCTTTAATGGAATGTTACTAATTAGCGGTAGAAACACCGTAGAAAGTAGCGTAGTGTAACTCTCTTCGCCAACAAACAAATTCTACAGCTATGCCGGCAAAGATGGCTCTATCCAATCAGAGCGCAGGTCATATGAGGTCAACCCATCAGAGCGTAGAGTTCACGCTGCTACTTACATATTAATGACAAAATGGCGCGTATTTCCTTCTCCGGCGAGGTTGAGAATGTGCGCTGCAAGTTTATTTTTCCGGCAATTTTCTAACGCCGATTTTTCGCACGCTACGATCACGCTACCATTTGACACTGTACTGGAGACAACAGATGAGTGATCATTTTACAATCAAGGAGCATTTTTGTTGAATGAAACAGCAATGCTATCTACGATACAGCCTTATTATTTTTCAAAATTTGTCTCGTGTATGAGAGATAAGATGACGTTTCTTTACATGTTTTGATATATTTTTGGCTTGATATTAACTAGTAATTCGTAGCGGAAATGTACGGAAGAAGCACGAGTACGAACGAAGCAAGGCTCTTCACTATTAAAAATCCGGCTAGCGCGGGCGCTACCGGAGGTTATGATGCCGATGTTTGGAGTTTTGCAGCAGAGTTTTGCAACAGTATAATTTCCTGACGATACGTTTGCCATCTGTAACAGTGTTTTTATCTCAATACAAAAAAATGTGGAATGCTTGTGGACAGTTTCAACTTGTAAACAAATGCCCCGCCCCCTCAGTTAATTTTCGCGACGTGTTCCCTAAGTTAATTAATTTTCGCGACCCGGCCCTTCCCAACTGGACGGCCTCTCAGCTGCAGTCTGGCGGAAACACTGATAGGGGGCTAAATGAACTAATGGTTAAATGGTGGTGGGAGACACAACTGAAGTCTAGCCAAACAGTCTAGAGAGCAAGTTAAGGTTATGTCTGTTTAAAACATTTTAGTGACTGTTGGCACAGACCCAGGCTAAATAAGGTTGGACCAAAAACTGATGACTGAGCTGTAGTGCAAGTCTGCATGCAAGAGAGAGACAATCTAGAATAGTAGAAACAAGGACATTATATCATAGCTAGAAGCAACCTGGTTCACAGGTTGAACTGTGCATACTAAGTGTGATGCACTGTGGGTAATGTGTCAGAGTTGAAGGCCCCTAAGACAACAAAGTATGTCTGGACAAGGTAGGGGTCTTCATCTAGACCTCATGCATACACAGTTGAACCTGTGAACCAGCTTATACTATAGGATGTGCAGCATAACATTAGTACATGTTACATGTGATGTATATTCATAAACTTCTAAGAACTGTACTGTTCTTTTGGATAGATTATTATATTCATAAGTTAAGTCTCAGGAAACTTCTGTTTGGGCTACGATGCTCTGGAAGCATTTGAAAAGTCACTTCCCTGAAAGACAAAGGTAAAAGCAGTGTCTTTTGTCTGACAAGAAGATACTGAAGGTTTCCTGAGACCCAAAACTTCATTTTGGAAGTGGAGAGAAGGAAGGCATGCAGGCCAGTACCATTCTAACTAGTTCATCTGTATTTTGAAGTCCGGCGTCTCCAGCGCCGTTATGCAGATCTGGGTGTAGAACTATTGTCCCTTGTCTTGCCATGGCCTCTAGTGCCTGCCACAAAAGGGGGGAAAATTAATATGCTGCACATGCCACAACGCTGGCCATGACATTGTGAATGACATTGTATTCAGGACTGGAACTCTCAAATGTGCCACAAAAAAGCACACTGGACAGTTATCAATGAAACTTGCCATCCTTGCTGTACAAATTGTTTTTCTGATATCTATAAAAATTTGTCTTCAAGTCCTGATACATGATACATGTAGCAAGCTACAATAAACGGCAACAAATCATTACTACACAGGGGAGAATGCAGGGTACAGAAAAAGCTGCCTCTGACACTGAAAGATGGACATCCTGTATTACTTATTACTAGTCATAGATATCGTACAAATTGTCAAAGCAAAAAAAGCAAAAATCTTCACTGAAATTTCATAAACTCCTCTAGCAACAATATTTATTATGCATCCACTTTCATGATGGTAGTAATTTTGGTAATGTTTGAACTATGCCTTAGCCGCAGTAAATCATCAGTGACTTGTATTACAAACCTGATAAAAAAAACTGACACTAGTGATAGGATCACAAACCTAATCTTCCACAGCTCCGATTTTTAACTGCCAAAACTGCAAATGGTTTACTCAATTACAGTCCCCCAGAAACAGTTGTCATGTCTTTTTATGGTAATTTCATTGCAAACTGACATTCCATATTACGTATACCAAGTTATACCAGCCTGAACCTATGATCTCCTAGCTCTTTTAGTTAGAATCGCATATAAATTAATAATGATTTACTGGTAGTACTATTACATGTATAATAATTTACCATGGCAGTACATTATAATTTACTGCAATTCTTCAATGCCTGATTGACTTACACTGCAGAAAAGTAAAAAGAGAATAGAAGCAAAACTAGTGAGACCTGACTCAACCAAATTAATGTATTTTCCTTTTTCACCTTGGGGCAATGAGTTACAATACCAGTGACGGCTGTGGGTTGAAGTTATGGGAAACCAATTCTGAATGCCCTGGAATACTGTATGGAATCGACAGACGTGACAAGGATATTGTACAGCAAGCAAGTTCTAATTATTTGGTTGGAGCCTTTGGAGGACACTTCACACAGCAAAAGCTTGCAGCTGACCTATGCTGTACCTAGTTCTGCACAGCTACTTAAAAGGACAGCTACTTGAAACAATTCTGCAGTAAAGTTAGCCTCTACCAGGCTGGAAAAATAGTAGAAATTTGCCGAAATAAAGGGATAGTACACCAGAGAAGATCCAGCCGGCCATAGAAGCTCCAATTTGTGATCCGTGGGTCGCAAATTGGAGCTTCTATGGCCGGCTGGATCTTCTCTGGTGTACTATCCCTTTATTTCGGCAAATTTCTACTATTTTTCCAGCGATCCGCGGAGCCTGGTAGAGGCTACAGTAAAGTTACCATAAAATGGAGACAATTTTACTTAATGTTACTTAATGTTATGGTTGAAGATCAATTCAAATTCCTGGTGGAGAGTTCACTGTGAAAATAAAACCACTGTGAAGGTTTCAAGATTTACAGTATCAGATGGCTCTGTTTCTGAAAAATAAAGGTCAAATGAAGCACTGTATATCATAATATTAGTATGACAAGAGCTGTACACATACCTCAGCCTCACAGAGAGGACACCTCAGAATCCTTCTCGGAGTCTTCACAATGACGATGGGGTTGAGGGACTGATGTCCCTCCCCTTCACCTCCTCTTGCTCCATCTTCTTCTTCCTCTTCTTCTTCCTCTTCATCTTCTCCATCTTCAGTCTTCTCATCACTTTTACTTTCCTCCCTTTGCTCTTCAGTAAGAAGAGTTGACTCCTCTCCTGGTTCTTCCTCCTCCTCTTCTTGTTCTTCTTCTTCTAAGAATTCTTCCTCGGACTTTGCAGACTCGACCACAGAACTCTTAGAATCAGACGGGGAGTTCTTAGAATCGGACAAGGACTGTAGCGAGACGGATGATAAGGACGAAAGATCTTCGGGCGTGGCCAGAGGAGCAACCATGTCTTCTTCTACGTCTCCTAAAGGAACGTCTCCGTTGGTCACAAGGTGTTTCAGGTGTTCGCAGACGGGGCCGCCCACTTCGCTACAGCTGGTGCTGTCATCGTCGTCTTGTTGCTGTAGTATCGCCTGGTGTGGGTTTATACTGGTTTCCTCCACGGGACAGAGTTCTATCTCTTCCACAGCAGACAGGGGGGTCGTTTCGTGTACTTGAATCTCGTCTGCGTCCATCTTGAATGGTAAGACGCCAACAGACTTCTGTAGAGTAAGCTGAGGAGTTGTCCCTCAGATGTCTTGTGGTACCGTCTTGTTGCCAGTTATATCATCTTTTCCCTGGAAGGAAAGAAGACAATTACGGTGAGACAAATACACAGTTCAAAGTACACAAAGGTTCCAATTTGCCATGACTGCTGTTTTATCTGCTCTCCTTCTTTCCTTGTGATATAGAACAACTGTAAAACTGAAATTAAGTGAAAATTTTATTTTGCAGGGAACTGCATTTCGTGATAGGGAAGGGAGATTTTTCTGTGCTTAATTGTTGTTACTTGTGTAGTTACAAACAACGGAGACGCCTATTTGCACTGCATGTCATAATTTTTGTGATAGAGAGGCCTGACTGCAAAAAACAATGTGATTGTGAATTCACGTCACCACAAATTGTATCACTACTATACTACACAATTGTTGCAACTGCGAATTCAAAATGCTGTGAGAAAATCCTTTTCCATCCTACTATTCCTACTGTGAAATTAAATGTGTATTTACAGTATCATGCACAATCATGTTTACAGGTGTGAAAACACAGCCCATAGCTAACAAAGAGGTGTGAAAACAAACTCTTCTGACAACCGCCTGCCCCTCCCCACTTACAGTAGTAGTAGGACATGCATATTTAATGACCCTGTCTCTGTCTCACCACAATAATTGAAGCCACAAATAAAATCATTCACAAACATTTTTTCCTCCCACCAGACTAATTAGCTTTTCTGGTCTAAACTGGTTCAGGTAGAATGGTAGCCAATACAACATGAAAGTGTAAAATTTTCTGCTATCAGTCGTCACAGACTTCATTCTGTAAATGGATCATCAAGGTTAGGCAGTTAATTTGAGTACGTTAAAACCCCATCACACTTTTAGATAAGAGTAAGGAGTCTTCCATGGAAAAAAAATGATTCTGACGTACCCTAAGGTTACCTGTAATAATTTCTTGTGTCTAGTTAGGTAGCCATGTTAGTCAAAATTTCTCACATCAATAATTCAAATTGATAAAATAGAATAAAAATACAGCAACTGGCTCTGTTGAAAAACTGCACAAAATGAGACAATAAAGCCTTTATCATGAATCAGCTTAGCAACAGCTACACAAACAGTATCTGTTTTTGTCTGATATGTCATTATGTGTCATCAATAATCCTCAATAACAGTTGAGGCCTGGGGCATTATACACGGAGTAAATTATGACACGACAAATTCATATAAAAGAGAAAACAGCCAAGACGGGGCTTTCTCAACGATAACGTTACTAGAACAAATTTGATAAACTACCACCTCGACAGGGTGGTTACATCAGCGCCTCTACCAAAGAGGAACCGAAACAAACCGGTTCTAAACGTTGATCACTTTCTCTCTGGGAGGAAGTGGTGGGTGGATGTGGTCAAGCGGCCGCTGTCGATCTCAAGTTATCATCGGAAAAATCGAACTACAAATGCCAAGTGCACGTACAGACAGACATGTACACGTTTCTGATACTACAACAAAATCATGCAAATCACGATTTTGAAGCCAAAGGGGTGTTTAGAGGACTTATATAACCTCCATTCCTCGTCAGGATTACGCAAAAATTACGATCGATCGCAACCGACGTTGCCCCCCTCCCCCTTTGCTCACTTCACGACGATTTTTTCCGACGCACCCACAAAAATAAACGGTAGCTCTTTCAAGAAAGTGTGGAGGAGGCAAAAAATCCATACGTACAACGGGAAACATATAAAGAAGACACAGTCTGGTCGTTACCTGTAAAGTTTGACAGCTATCAGACGAGAAGAAGATATTTCAAGTCTTGCCTCTCAAACACGCAGCAGACTAATGAAAAATCTCTTTCGTCGTAAGATGCCGCCTGACCAATCAGGGGGCGCGTAGGACTGACGTCACGAGCAAAACTTGACCTTTCACCGAAGTGGCGGGAAAAAGTTAAAATTTAAAGCCCAGTTTATCGTGATCAGTTTCAGCTCAATTTCATTAGTTTTTCGTAGTTGTATTTTTTGGAAATGTCAAGACTTAGGTAATCATAAAAAAAGAAACAAAATCATCCCCCTGCTTGTTAATTTACCTATGGAAAATTTTACTTGTAAAGTACTGAGTGAGATCTTGTATAATGTAACCTGGCCTGAGATGACAGTACATTTTGTGTACTGCTAGACTAATTACTTGGCTGGAATGTGGTTTTGTATGTACTACAAGTATTTTCCTCTCAATAAACCAATTATTATCATTCTGATATTAAATGTATCGGGATGATGCAGACAGAGAGAATGGCAACCAATATCTTGAGCAACAAAACCTTTATTCATTGCATTCCTATGTCTTTGCGCCCAAAAGTAGTTACTCAAGCAACTGGATATGATTTTGAAAACGTCAAACGTCTGTGACGTTTTCAAAATCATATCCAGTTGCTTGAGTAACTACTTTTTGGAGTATCGTATTGCCTGGATGTCTAACCTTCATTGACGTATCCTATGTCTTTGCTTCAAGTAAAACAATAAAAGACTGGTTTCCACACATTGCTGTCTGTTTGGTTCTTATGATCAGAATTGTAATATTTTAGCTACATTGAGGTCTCATGCAGGAATTTCCCTACCATCCCATATTCTGTCAGTTGCTGTAAATGATGGTGAGAATGTATTTGCCCTTACAAATATTAAGGGATGGTATAAAGATAAATAGCCTGCTATGGACTGAACAATAGTCTGACATTGAAAACCTCATATTGCACAAAATCATGTACTTTAACATAGTTTTATTCATCTACATATACTTTTGGTCCTTTCAATACACAGATATCACTTCTCAGATGTCTGAAATCTCTGATTTCTTGAAACAGTTGTAGCCACCAAGTTACAGTGTTATAGGTAAATTCTTCTTCACTGCTACTCTGTGAAGGTTCTGCAAGCAACCCTTCCCAGCACGCATCAGGTGCTCCAGGTTCTCCTGAACAGCAGAAGGACAGGGCTTCTCTTCCTCCAAAATCTGAAAACAAAATCAATAAGATATGTTGCCACACCTCATTATGAGCCAATTACAAAAAATTATATCAATGTGTGTTAAGTGGATACTGGGATTTTGTTCTTGCATAACTGGTAAAGTTACTCAGCTGCTTATATTTACATGCCACTCAGACATCTTCCTCAGAGCTTCTGACTAGAGTTCTGCTTCTCGCCACTACTGGTATACATGTATGTAGCCAAGCTAAGGTCCTTGGTTAATTCTCCGGGCCTGATGAAATTATTTTGGATGTGTGTTAACTGTTTCTATAGTATACGGTCTGCACATATTGAATGTATGAACAGCAGAACTCACCCTACTGATGGAATCCTGAATGAAGGTGATTTTTCTCCACAGGTTCAGAATGACGTTCCTCGTGACTCTTCTGGAGGTGCTGCTCACCAGGACTGCTGTATACTCCCCTGCCAGGTGCATCTGATAAACAACAACACAACAGATTTATTTATTTATTATTCATTAAGTTGCATCAATGTTTTTTTCAATGGATTCCATCAGAAAAAAGTTTGGACTCAGAAGCCACATGAAGTCATACACCCCATGAATGAGGATGCTGACAGTCATCTTCCATTGCCAAGGAATTCTTTAAGGACTACCAATAAGCAGGATCAGAACATTTGAGGCTGTTCAATGACTCCCCCTAGTACAATACTACAGTACTGCAGTTACAGGTTGATCATGCTTCACCTGTGAGCAGAACAGACACTTTCCATTTGAATCCAGGTAACCAGGTACTAGTACAAATGTATTAAGGAGTAAGTGGATTACAGTAGCAGCATGTTGCCTTGATGTTGGTACAGACAAACCCAACATGGCGCCTGTGACATCTTGTAAAAATCATGTATAGTTCAGTTCCTTATCCTTATACTTCACATACAATGTATATCAACATTCCAGTCAGAGTTCCTTTTTTTTTTACATGAATGGCAATGTCCTTTACCTGCAAGACCATGTCAGCAGCACCCTCTGTCAGGTCCATGTATGATAACAGGAGGTTGTCTGAGGTGTGTCTGTCCTTCCCTTCCATCAGTCTATAGAAGAGCTGGACATCTGTGCAGAGTACCTGTGACACAACACAAAATAACTCAATAAAATAACTATAGAAAGTCATTTTAGAAATCCAACAATTAGACCTGTCACTCAGTGTCATTTTGTAAACTGTTCCAAACATTTGGACAACTTTTATAACAATTGTACAGCAATTTTTTTACAGATCCTTATGTTCTTCACTTATGATTCTACCAGAGAAAATCATATAACCTGGTAGTGTTTACCATTTTTCTAGCCAGTCTGTGGGCTTGTTTGTACGCCTGTGTCATCCTTGTCGGCCTTCGGGCCCTCCTATGCTCCAGGGAAGCCTTGTACCATTTCTGCTGGTAGACTGACATGTTCTTGACTTGCCGGCTGTCGATCTCTATTTCCTGGAAAGCAACCATAAAATAAATCACAAACTGATCTAAACAAAATCATATCGTTTTTCTTACTTCTAAACAGATTCTTTTATCAGCCATACCAGTATGATAATTTTTCAGGAAATTTTTATGCATTATCTGCGAACTATATGGTTACAACTGACATCCCTTTCACATAACATACCTCTAGTGCGTATGGCTTCTTAGGGCAGGAGAAAGTTCCATTTTTGTAGTGAGACTGGTACTCCTGTCCACATTTCCAACAGAAACTGGTGCCACAGATGCAGCTCATGTGAGGACAGCCTCCGTTCTTTTCCATAGGATGGAGACAAGATGGGCACTTCTTGGTCATTGCTGTGTATGTCGCTTCCTCAAGACTCAAGGGGTTTCCTTTTGAAAAGAAAAAGAGAGATGCATTTTTCAATGACTTCCTGTGTACAAAACACAGCGGGTTAAGTACCTGTTGTGGGTATAGGTTGCACTCAGCCAGATGAATGGGCTTTAAGCTTCCTGTCCCGTATTTTTGTTTCTTTTTGTTTCCTGGTTTTAGGATCCTGTCTTGTCTACAAATTTTTTAACATTCTCCCATTACAAAGTATGTCAACATTTTCCATGTTTTGAAGCTTTGTGCATATTACATTTGTCTTTTCTTCCATCAAGTCAGCACTGACTTTCTTGAATACTAGTATCCATGATTTAGACTTACTAGTACATCAATCTGTATGAATGTATTGATTTGAAACTCAATATATACTAACATCATTTCACATTTTCCTCTACCATTTTTTAATACTATACTATACTGCACTGTTTTTTTGGAACTGGAACAGTTGTACGATATCATGGCAATGTTCTAGCTGCCATGATATGAAGCTATCACAGACAGGATATGAAGACTTACTGTGTTGTATCTCCTGCAGGTGTTCCTGTGCCTGCTGACAGGTAGCAGGCCAGTGTGGCTCCGCCCCACACGAGGTGCACCACATGGACCCACACTCACATCTCACCGGTACAGGGTCAGCAACCTCACCTGGACACAACACACATTCTCCATTAGGCCAGGCAAATATCATTCCCTGTTTAACACTGTCTGAACATGGCAAACCTTATGCAAGATTGTTTACAGTTACTAATTATCAAGTGTGGCCTAAGGGCTATAGAAATTGAGATGGGCACTACCCTACATGTACCAAAAGGTGTGGATATTATTTTCTAAACTGAACTTACTAAATATGCTACTAACAGGTACATGAAGTTGAAACACAATAATATCATTATTGTTGTTTGTTGAGTTAGAATAGGGGAAAAATCAGTGCACAAATAGATGCCATCCAGTTTGCGTGTCCCCAACAGGAGCCAGCGCCTGTGGAACCATTCAAGTTCAGGTGGTGACAGGCACTGCGGCTGGGACCTGTCCCACACCGGGGCAGTTCCTGCCGGGGTCAGGCTGGGTAAGAGGGTGTTTGTGCAGGTGTTGACAGCTGCGGGGGCGTGAGGTGCCTCAGGTGGGCTGCCAGCTGCTCGCGGCTGGAACTGCGCCAGGTGTGATAGGCGGGACACGAGTCTCACTTCCTGTATCACGTCTAGGACATGTGTGCGTTATCTTTTTAAACAGCCTTGTGAGCAGCTTGTGTGTATCTCTGATTGAATATCCAGATGTCTAAGGGCAAGCAGTGTTTGTAGGTTTGACGATAGTGGATTTTTCAAGTTGGAAAACAAATGCGTGTCTTTCCATTGTAACTAATCAATAAGCAAAAGTAGTAACTTATATACATATATTTCATTCTTATACTATCTGGTTAGGCAGAAGAAAGATCAAGGTTAATGTTGAATCAAAAGGAACTGCATGCATAAAATCTCTGCTTACCAGTGAATGTGACAGAGACCACTCTTCCACACTTGGAATCCCTGCACCAATGAAGACTGTTGTCAGAATCCACCGCCACGTTACGGACCCTTCTCTGGTACTGATGGTACAGTCTCCCGGGCAACAGTAACATCAGGGTGGTGTCATCCACGACCTCCGAACACTCGCACTCCTACAAACACGAGCAACGTAAGCAAAGCTTCCTCCACTTCCTAACGGTGGCAAACTTTGGGCCGTGATCGGCTTGTAAAATTAAGTGGTTGCGGCATTTCAAGGCGACAACACTCAAAACCGACCTAAACAAAATCTTACAGCTGCTCATACAGTAAATCTTCAAAGTTTATAAGCCGACCACACATGCTGAGGAAATCATACTGTAACTAGACAAATTATTACTTGTGTTGAAAGTAGCAGGATGGAGGAGATAGAACACTAAAAACTCTATTTACTTACAAAGTTTATTTACAATTTTCTTCATCAAATGGGTGGTCCTTTCAGTTTCAACAAATTGATTTTAAAGGAGCCCTTGAATACAATTAACCACTGACAAAAGAATTACAGAATGTCAGAAGAGGCCAAAATGTAAATAAATCATCATCAGTTTACAGTCTCAAAGTCATTAGTACTTCCAGTCAAAACACAAGTCTAGCCTTGAAAAATACAAAGGCCAACAGGTGGACAAAGGGGTGTGCACATCAAATGGAGCAGCCAGTTTGACTTCGCGACAAAGACTTCGCGACTTTGCAAATTAGATGCTCTTAACCTCTTTAAGCTGTTACGACTACATTTGCATCTGAAGGTACTTACAGGGCAAGTGATGTCTGTCGACCCTTGCCTCACTTTGGTTGCCACATGGTTCTCCCAGCATTCCCTGCAGAACCAGTGTAGGCAGCCCTGTAGAGCAAAGGCTGATGGGATATCTCCAGCATCGATGTCAGACCAGCAGATCCCACAGGTGGTTGGGTGCTTTGCATTCTGGGAGGTGTCTTCCTGCTCCTTTTCTTTCTGCTTCTTGAATAAAATGGCATAAAAGGTTGTAGTTGTCTTTCCTATTTCATTATTCACAACATTGCAAGAAATAGATTCTTTAAAAAGGATTACATTATGATATGGTAATTGGAAATATTATCTGTCTTTTTTGTTTGTACGGGACATGAATGTTCCTTTTATCGATATGTAAGAAAGGAGGCAACAACAAAGATATCATAACTGACAACATTTACCTTGCTGGACACTACTGCCTCAGAGGGTAGCATTGATCTGGTCTGGACTTTGCAGATTTTGGAGATGACTTTAAGTGAGTGGCTATTCCGCTTCTTGTGTGCTTCCTTTACCTTCTGATTTGACCTGCAATACAACATTTTCCACAAATGAATGTAGGAACATAATAGTGAGAAGTTAGAACTGTAAATTTGAAGTTTTTTCTTGGCTTAGGAAGGATTTTACATTATACACTGACCTGTTGCTCAGCTGGCCAGACAGGAAGCTTGCGGTTTGGCTGACGACATCCGCAACAGTCATGGCGACTCTGCCTTCCCATGATTCCCCCCAACTGTCACAGTCTACACTGTCTTCTTCACCAGTTACAAGACTGAGTCTGGGGGAAGAAAAATCCATGGTTCAATACTAAGTTTTCTACTTTGTATTTTCAGACTACCTAGTTTCAGCTCAATACCATCCCATAAAAAAACACAACTTAGTATAAATCATCATGAAAAATAGCCTTATGGCTTTCTTAAGCTTGTTATATTTTGTGCAACTAAGAAAAAATGACTTTATTCACCTGGTATTGCAGCATTCTTGAGTCTGTCCATTTTCATCCACAATGCTGATTTCTTCCCCAACTTCGAACAGTAGTTGAGCACTTGATGTGTTCATGTTTCCTCCCTCTCTCACTTGACTCCTGACAAGATCGTACAAGTCCAGCCTAAATACCCTGGGAACACACTGGCTCTCCTGGTATCCCACCTCGGTCAAGGCTTCAAGTTCATCTGGCTTCAGACTTTCTGTGGTTAGGAACACTTGAACTGTTGGCTTCTCTTCATAAACTTCGAGAACCTCTACTGTATCATCTTTGTGATGAAAATCTGTCGTGGCATCATTCTCTTCAGCAGTGTCACTGTCTTCTGTGTCAGAAGTTGTCGGGGAACATACGATTGCACTTCCTTTTGGGTGAATGGATCCAGCAGAAGAGGAAGCAATGTTGGGAACACAGCATCCTTTCCCAAAGACACTGTCCACACGCTGATGCTTCCTCTTAGCAGTGCCTGTTGTATCAAGCAAATCAGCCAACACTTCTCCAGTCGTAGGCAGCTCTGGCCGTGCTTCATACAACTGCTCGGTTTCGCTTTCTGCTCGATCGTCTTCAGAGTCATCTGTACCTTCGAAGAACGTACCAACCTTGTGAAACTCTGCCCTGCTGTAGCCGCCATGCCAGTAACCAGACTTCTTGTCTCGCTGATGCTTGGTTTTCTTCAAAGTCTTTGTACGGGGAGTCTCTTCTGTAAAACAATAAGTGACATCATGGTTTAAACTTAACTTGCTAGTCCATTACATTACTTCATGTGAATTACTTAGAAATTAATCAAATGTTACACAGCTGAAACTGTCTGTATACAAAAAGTTTAGTCTCCTTCTACGTTTTTCTTGTTTTTATGGATATTTGATTATGAATTAGTACAAATACAGTAAAAGCAAAACTGCTTACGTTTGCCTGAGCAGTGATATTGGTTACACTGCTTTTCGCTGTACCAAGGGTAGACATCGGCATTTCTGGGGTAGCAGAACTCGTATTTCAGGATGGGAAGGTCGTCTATAGGGTCATGCTCTTCCTCTTCCTCCTCTAGAGGTGCTCTCATTCTCCTCCTCTTTTCCTGCTTTTTGGGCTTTGCGTTTCTGATCAGATCAGTCGCATAGGCATGTTGACGCTTGCTCTTCTTCTGTGGGATCGCCCTCTTGCTGTCAGTGACAGATACAACGTCAGCTCTGCTCCTTCCCACGCCTGATACTGCAGTCACCAGCTCTCGCTCCACCACCTGGACTCTGTAGTCAGACTCTGCATGCCTCTCCAAATCCGACACGCTCTCTTTCAGACAGGTGGGGAGCTCCCATCTCTTGCGCTTGTTCATCGAGTAGAAAACTTCATTGGGACCCCTCTGCCATTGCCTCCTCCTTCCATGGAAAGTAGACAGAGCGCCTTGAGAGATTCCCCCGTCGTCTGCAAAATCAGAAAAGTCATCAAGCATATCCTGGCCCTCCTCTCTTATAAGGGTAGCAGGTCCAGACAGGCGCACATAGATGCCGAATTCTGCACGGTAATTCTTGTTCTTCTTGCGCGCCACACAGCCCATGCGGAGGGTGTTGCCGGTGTGGCGGCCATGTTTTCCCTTCTTGTTCACCATGATGACGGTACTAGGTGATGCCTGGATAATACAACAGCAATGCCGTCAATGGAGAGCTTTAAACCATGACAAAACATACAACAAACATGCACTCAATGCTAGTGTTTGACAATCAGACATTTTATTTCATAAATCAAATATTGAATGAATGAATAAATAAATGAACTTTTATATGTTGCAACTTTTTTGGCAGGATTCCTTACACAATTTTTATGGAATACCGGTAGCTCCAATATAAATTGACCGAAGAAGGTAGGAGAAGGTAGAAAAAAATAGACTAAAATTTCAATGCTATTGACACCAACTTACATCAGAAAAATTGCCTATAATGATGATGAAACATTGTGCAACTATTCAGGACTTAGTTAGGTAGGTTAGATTAACATTGTCTGTATTAATGAAAAACAGTAACTGTTCTGATAATGCCGTCTGTAGAAATTATTTTGATAAATTCAAAAGTTGGTAACCTTGTATTTACAATTAAATGATGATTACTCTCATTTTATGGTTCCTGTTTCCTTCTATTCAAAGCCTGTATTGATGACCTAACAAACGCTCCAAAACTCTCCACTACATATGGTTGAGGGGCGTGTCATGGTATCATTTTCTACACAACGTGTTACATGTGCCTTTCCAAAAAGAAATTTTTCTCAACCTACCTTTCTTTCGTCTGTCGATGCCACAGTCCGGCTGTAGAGGTTTCTCTTTGCCGCTGCCACCTCCACCAGCGGTCGCGTTTCTCGCTTTCCCCGGGTTCTCCGCAGGACGATTTATATATCTGTCATTCATTGCGGGGAGTTGTGCAACCCTCATCATCAAACAAAACATGCTCAGACAATAGAGTTATTTTGGGCCGGGTGACGTAGCCTTGATATGGCTACGAGGCAATGAAAGCAGTGAGCGTAAAGCACCACAAGTATGCTGGTTATTGGAGATACTCACAAATTTAGAAAATATTGAGAACGTGCGAGCAGAAATTGTCAGAATTTACCACATTTTCTGGATTCTAAACCTGTGTTTACATCATATGTAGGTTACTTCCGGTTTGTGGATAGGTCAGAGGTCACACAATAGTTTTGACCAATAAGAGACGAGTCCTGTCGTGACGTCACTGGCGGGAAAATCAGCATGATCTGCTCGTCCCAAGCAGATGTTTGGGAGGTTCTGGTTGTCACTACGAAAGCGGTGATGCTTATATAATGTGATTGGACAAAGGTAAGTGTTTGATTCAAGTAAGTTTGATGACAGTATAACTCAAAGACACAATCTAATTCTTTGTGTGTGTGTGGGGGGGGTATTTTGTCATACTCTGACCTGCCATTTAGCTATGTGAAGTTTTTGAAGTCCACCTTATTAACTTTCCTCTTGATCATTTCCACACATCACAGTTGGGTGTTGAACTTGTGACTTCTAGTTGAGATCAAGATCAAAGGGCTCATGGTTTCCACATGACCTGCCTTGGACTTGACCCGACTGGATTAGTCCAATCTATTTAGGAAATTCATCTTCTGTCATCTGTCACATGCTGGGCCATGGGCTGAGGGACTTGAATGATTCATGCTATACAGGAATTTCACAGCATATTTGTTAACATACTTGTGCATGGAAATTAAGAAGACATTTCAATGCCACAACAACTGACAGGGCTGTTCTAGGCAATGAACAAAAAAAGTTAAAGTGTGTGTGGGGGGAGGAAGGGATATTAAATAGACAAGTAAAACCAAGTGTCTATATCTCCTATACATCACAAAATTGTGTAGTAAAGGTGTTCTTCAGTAGCCTTGATACCATCCTGGTTAGTTTACAGCTGCTCAGATAGTCATTACCTACCAATAGCCACTATCAGAGTGGGCGTATGTAAACTAACCAGGATGGTAACCAGGGTAGTCCTGGTAGAACTGTTTTTAAGAAGTCCCCTCCCTTTCCATAGTTAATGCACAAGCCCTCAGGAGGGCACAAAGTACTTTCCTAGATGCAATGGTAGACTGAGCAATGAAGAAACAAGACACCTGATAGGTTAATTGATAACAGACCTCCACCACATGGCCCAGTGGCGTGGCCTGTAACAGGCTGACTGCTGTCTACCTGCAGCGTGCTTCATGTTTGGGCTCCTGTGGTGTTTTGCTGGCTCACTAAAAGGCTGGAGCTGCGCAGGTGTTGTCACACACACAGCAGCCGTTTACATGTAAAACAGCACCTGTTGACAGTCGTGTTGTTGGCAAACAAAGGTCTGGTCAGAAACACCCGCGCCAATTCAGGTATTTGCTGAAAGTCAGGAATCAGGTACCCCTAAGTGTAAGACATCCAGGCTGGCTGCCTCGAATTTTCCACTAAAATCTTTAGACTTGTAAAAAATTGTGAGTTTTGCCACTTTGCAGTTTTCAAAAGAAACTGCTTGAGAAGTAGTATTTTTCATTTTATCTGGAACAGGTTGCACAAACGATTTTCATCAAATCACAGTGGTATTCTTACCCTTGCAAAGTTATCTTCAGAAAGACTACCGATTAGAGGTGAATACAATAAATTAAGTTCCATATGCTCAAGAAAAGAGACACCTAGTGTTCTGCACCAGTATTACACCCTTCAGATCCCCAGCCTGGTAGATGGATGGAGCAGACTGCTGTTGCCAGTGGCTGAAAGCCTGTGTGTGTGCAGATAGCGCAAGGTGTGCAGCTGGATTCCTGTAACTGTCTGTAAAGGAAGGAGCGGGGCTCCTGGTTCAGGAACTTTTGCCTGGAAGACACGTGAAAACAGAATATTCAACAGGAACTCCCGGAAAATGGAACTGTGATAAAATCAGGTGACAATTGTGTCTTCCAGTATGACATGTTCAAAGGATGAAAATAGCCCCAGTAATGGTCAACCCAGATTCCTGAATTTTCCTTGCTGAAGGCACATGAGGACATTCGCAATGATTTTGCACTAAGATGGGGAGGGGGGATTTCTTTGTAAGCTCATGAATCGATTCATGTACACATCATAAACTCCTCTACAATCCTCACTACAGTGGTGTGCACATAGAGGTGCCAAATTTTCTTCAATTTGTTTGTTGGACTGCTTGATTGCATCAATATACCGTAGCAGGAAATGATAGACCTGTGCACATGACAAATTAAGATGTGGTAAAATTGGAAGAAAAATTCTGAAAATTGCTTCTAATTTTAGCATGTTTTGTTGTGGCAAATTTGTTCTGGTTTGTCAAAATTTATTCTAGTCAATATAATTGTGGACAGTCACGTTTTTGTCATTTTTTTGTTTTGCCAACGAATGACCACCACCAAGTTTAAGACACATTTTAGGCCAGATACCTTTTTTTAGTGGCCCTAGTGGACTGATGGACACAAGAAATCCATTAAAAATTACTTAACAACACAGATATAAACTTCCTGCCAGAAAGTGTACATAAATGTGCCCATGCGTCAGTAGAACCAAGTGATGAAAACCCACTGAAACTTGATCACCACTTCCACAGCTGGTTTACTTCTACTTGACAATGTGACAAGTAAAAAAAAAACTCTTTCAAACTTTCAAAAATTATTTCTACCCATTGTTACTAACAATCACTTCAGTTGCTCTTTGCTTCTTTTCTTAAAAACAGAAAACAGAGGAACAGATTTCAAGACGAAAAAAAAAAACTATGGTCTTCGACATGTACATAATGTACCATATGGATATAGCATTCTATGTACATGTATGTAGCAATGGACATTGCTAGCTTATCGATATTTTATACAATACGTCATTATCGGATATACCCTTTTAACACTTAATCTTTTAACACTAAAATGTTACAATTGTTAATGTGAATTTACATGTAATTTACAACACAATTCAGGCTGTTTCAGCCTGCAATGTTGTTTTGATGAATAAAGTTCTAGCTAGTTGGCATATAACAATACAATATAACATTACATGTAGCAATCTTCTGAGTCTTTTAGTCTTTCAGTTTCATCAAAGAGGCTCAATCATCAGATTTTTGTCTTGGAGCAATTTGTGGAAGACCACCCCTTTAAGAACACCTCAGAGAAATTGTGACTTGAAATGAAATGAAATGGAAAATTTTTTTTGAGGATCATGAGCTGAAAAGTAAAATCAGAGAGCTTTGCCTCCGATGAAAAAGTCCAAACCAATGTAACAGTGGCTGTTGTATGTCCACAGGAGTTGGACGTAGTTGGTGTCACATATATGTGACATAGATCCTCTAGTATTGACAGAAATTTCAGTCAAGGCACAGAAAGCTTTCACTGGAGCAAACACTTATCAAATCTATGGGGCTGAAAAATATTTAAGTTATTTCCAGTCAATTTTACAGCATATTTGGGGGTGGAAGGTTAACACACAAACATACTCCCACACTTGAACAAATCAAACCTCCCTGTAAATGGGGGTCAAAATTGCCTCAACACCTTTGACAAATATAACTGTGTTGGTAATTAAATCCAGCGGAAAAGGAAAACAACTCACTGCACTATCGACAGTAATACTGTATGTGGTACATGGTAGAATTTCTTAGGACATTGAACACTGGACATTCATATTGTGCACGTGGGAAGAAAAATGCTGTACAGCTTATGCAACTAAAGCAGATTTTTGGAAGTTTCACTAGTATTAATATTTATAATTCAAGTGCATCTCTGTTATAGTTTCAGCAAGATGGTCTTTACACAATAGTTTCAAACATCATATTAACATGTATGTTCACTTCTTTCTTTGTACACACTGTTGGGAAGATGTGATATAACGGCACTTGAGAGAGAGGACGTTTACGGGCGGTTATCGTTGCCCAATGCCAGACCCCTGGGGCCCCAGACGGCTGGGTGAGACTGGGGTTTCCTATCGTCTGGGTGGCAAGGCAAACGGCACCATGGCAACTGACATGTTCCACCTGCCGCTGGTGGAGTCGCTCCGCTCAACCCTTTGTTTAGAATACATGTAAGATCAGCGGTTACCATGGGACTGGCTCACTGGTATAGCTTCCTGCCAGGGTGTGTGAGGAAGTCTTGGCTTGTAAGAAGACCCTGTAAGAAGACTATGTACTGTACATTCATTTATTTCTGTTGGACTTTTGATTTTGTAATAGGATGTTTTTCGCAGTGCATACGCGTAGTTGAAACAATTCAGTGGTACACCCGGTAGTAAAAATACAATGAAAATGTGAGTTTGCACTGCTATGATTTCACAGTGGAGAGGTCACAGGGAAAACTGTGAAAATAAACCGTGAACATTTCAAGATTTGCAATGTCAGTTACAAGTACCTTTTCAGTGAAACGTACACAATTATCATCATCATAATTAGATCGATCACAACTTAAATTGAACAAAAATCTATCGTTGAGCTGTAGTTCAAGTAGTAAAAGTCCAAGCTGTTCAGATATACCCATGAGTTCAAAGCCTGTTTTTTTCTCTAAGATTTCTCATTTCTTTTATCTTCTTACACAAGCTTCCAGCAATAAAGACCCTTGCCACATATAATTGTTTCTCATCTGGCTAAATCAATTCAAACACATGGTTTCAGACAGTAACTAATTACAACATTCATAAAAGCCAATCTTGGGAAATTGTAGATGATTCGTTATTAGGGCTCCAGTGTATATACATGTAGATTAAATTGTCAGAAATGTTATAGCAGTGCTGTTCAATCCAAGTTGTTCAATGCTGCATTTGTCTCATTTTTAAAAGACCTCATCAGGAATTTCACAGTAGGTATTTCTTTTTAGTGTACTTCCATCCAATTGAGAAATCTGACATTTTTTCTGCCTATAACTGGTCGCAATTTTGAATACTAGTACTCAACTTTGCCAAAGTGAGTGCAAATATCCGTGTACAATAAAAGCAACAGGTACCAGCATGGCTGTATTTACTGAATCCATCCTCCAATCTGGTCTTAAAGTGAACTTGAACTTTCAAACTGGATGATTTAAAAAAAAAAAAAAAAACTGCAACAACAGTTATTCCAGATCGGACTAAAGAACCGAATACTTCCAAAAGGATGGGCACGCATGCAGGAGGAATAAATTAAGTTGACACCTC